CTTTCTGCTCTGATTTAATCTCCTCAAAATCACTATTAGGCTACAGCAAAACACTGATGTTGATTTCTAAAATTGCATACACAGTTATTTAAATACTGCTTATTTAAATGCTGCTCGACTTAAGATGGGGTTACCTCCAGATCGACCCATAGTAAGTTGAAAATATCATAAATTGAAATGCATTTAACACAACTTACCCACAGGCCCTAACAGCTTCACCCAGCCTACCTTAAACATGCTCAGAACACTTACATTAGCTCACAGTTGGGCAAAATCCCCTAACACAATGAATCCACTGTAAGGTATCCATTGTTTACCCTGGAGATGATGTGGCTGACTGAGATGGCTGCTGCTTCCCAGCATCTCCAGAGAGTATCTCACTGCGTCCCAGAAGTTGAGGATATCATCAGAATCTGAAGTGTGGTTTCTACTGAATGTGTCTGGCTTTTGTACCATCGGAAAGTCGAAAAATCGTAAGTCAAACCGTGGGAAGTCAGAACCATTTGTATTTAACTAAAATGATGGACAAGTACCACAGAGAACCCAAAAAAGAAAATCCAGCAGAATCTGCCCTTCCTTTTGGGGTCCTCAGTACGAAGTGGTCCGGTTCACCTTCACAGGAAAGTCAGTGCCTAGCACTGGGCTTTGCACCTATGAGGCACTCAACAAAGGAGACTTCTTGAGAATTGAAGGACTGGCTCAATTTAAGACTTGATCACCCTTGCCCCCACTTTAAAGATTGTACTTGTGTTCTGAGAAATGAAATAATCATGCTACAATATGGTGTGTCACATAATTTCAATAGTTCAACCATTAAATTCCGTTGAAATAAGTCCCAGCCTGGAAATTATTGCAAAAGAAATAAAAAGATGGCAGGAAATGACAGATTTATGATGTTTACGGTCATTCTGTCCAGATTTTCTTAAAGTCTGTATTAGGAAAAGAAATCTTAGATAAAAAATAAATAGCAACTCTTGAGTGGTATTTCAGTCTAAACAGAAATTCTGCTGTAATTCTCTCCTTATAACTTGATATTCATTTTTTCTTTTCTAAATAATTATTTTTTATTTTTTATTTTTAGAGAGAGAGAGAGAGAGCGAGCACCCTGACCAGAATCAAACCTGCAACATTGGTATATCCAGGTGACTCTTTAACTAAATGAACTACCTGGCCAGGGCCCGAAATGATTCTTTCATTTTTATTGATTTTAGAGAGAGAGGAAGGAAGAGGGAGAGAGAGATGGAAACATCGATGAGAGAGAACATCGATTGGTCGCCTTCTGCATGCCCCACACTGGGGATTGGACCCACCACCTGGGCAAGTGTCCTGAGTGGGAACTGAACTGGCGACCTCCTGGTACATGGGTTGATGCTAACCACTGAGCTTCACCAGCTGGGCAACTAAATGATTCTTAAATAAACCTCACATTATGCCATTCTTTACTTCCTCCTTCTGTATCATCACCTCTTCCTCACTGCTCACCCAGACCTGTCCATCTTTCATAAACTAGCCCAAGTTCTACCTCCTTCTTGAAGCTCTCTAGACTAATTCATTCCCCAAGGAACTCCGTCTCCTCGAGCTCCGTCTCCTCTAACTTCACTGCCATGAATTTACTGGTAGGTCATACAGTCTCCAGGCAATTCTGCTCTTCAGAAGTTCGTGTAAATGATTATGTATCCAATCTTTTAGTTGACTCTCGGGGTCTTGCACACTGGAAGCATCGGATTTTTTGATTCACTTATAGCAGTAACTTTCAGATTTTTTGAAACATGATGTATAGTAAGATACACATTTTTATGTCATAGTCCAGTGTATACATACATATAAATATATATATATTTAATTTAAAGATTCAATAAATAATAGTATTTATCCTTCTATTCTTTCATTTTTTTTTTTTTTTTTAATTAAAATGCTATCATACCCAGTAAACTGACTTGACAATGGTTTGTGGCTGTTTCTAGAAGGGCACTTATTGATTACTATGGGATTTCTGTATGTGTTTCCCTCACTTAAAAAAAAAATACCTTTAAACTGTATGTGCCTTTGGGCTTTCTTTAGCCAATGTTCCTGAGTTACATTTTTGTTCATTCAGTTTCTCTTTTGGAATCACCTGGGACGGTGAAATGCTTAGAATACACAGCATTTTTCATCCTTTTGCCTTGAGCACTGTTATAAAAATAAGATTCCCTGCATTTCTATAAAAAATGAATCTCCATTCCCTCATTCTTTGTCACTTTCACAGTATGCAAAGTAAGTGGTAGACATTTCATAGACGAAGAAATCAAGGCACAGAGAACTGTGATTTTCTTAAGGACACTACTCCCTTTTAATCAAACTATTATAAGCTAAAGTAAATATAATCTCTAGATAGTTGAAGCATATAAACTTGGGTAATGTGAACAACATAGAGCCTCATATGAATTCATTTACCTAACTTCTCCGGATCAAATGATTGACAGAGCAGATGAGTTAGCGGCTCTTCTGGGCTTCAGCCTGAGGATGAATCTGCTCCCTTCTCCATCTTCCCATCTTTACCTGCTCACAGCTTTTCAACCATCTACAGTTACTTGTTCTTCCTGGGGCTCTGCATATTTGGTCATTGTACCAGGACTGTCCCATCTCTCCTCTTTACCAGACTAGTTCCTCTTATTCTTGAGGTCCTTCCTTGGGAACTGTTCTTGTCCTCGCCACCTCCACAACCTGGCTTCCATAACATTCTGTGTGCACCCTGTCACAGCACTTCACTAGCTGTTATTCCGTCTCTCCCAAGGCTTGCTGGCTGAGACTGTGTCTTGTTCACTCTTCAATCTCACAACCTCAGACGTGTTTATTTCAGGATAAATGTATGCTGAATGCATGAATGAATCAATGAATGAGTGTGTAAAGGGTAGAAACAGCTGCTCCTGAAAGAGCTCAAGTGTGAGTTGGGACTGGAATTGTATATCTTGACTCTCTGAGGCCAATCGCTTATGATTTTGTGCTTCCATGACCAGTATTCCCTGTAAGCAGGTTTTGTGATGGAAAAATTCATACAGTGAAGGAGAGCTGTATCCAAGGATTGTGTATACTTGAGGCACAATCAAAGAGATGTTACAGGGACAAATAATTAAGTGTAATGGGCAAGGGTATCGAGGCAAATAAAATAAATCAAAATTTCAAAAACAGCTTGTTGGAACGCACCATGACCTCTAGTTGAGACTGATCTGATTCATATCATGCTTCAATTCTCCACTTCCCATATGAAGCTATGTACTTCAGATTTTTGTCCTTGTCATTTTCAGAGAATTCTAGTTAGTGATTAGGTAAAGCCTCAGCACACCACGACACACTCTACATGGCTCTCTCTGACTTCCTCTGCACTGTTTCCAAAATAAATTCCAATGATAGAACATCTAGACTCGCAATAGCAATTACTACTTATTTTTCAGTTTATGAATCAACAACCTATTCCCCCTACTAGAAACATACAAAAACTTGAAAAATGTTCTTGTGATTCTAATTCAAAAGAATAATCTATAATACAAACTACTGCCATTTGCAGATAGCAACTGAAAAGATTTTTTTGCCTTTATGTTGTGACTCATGTATCTTTATTCCCACAGTTGTTACTCAGGGCAAGCCAATGGTGAATACAATGGAAAGAAACAATAGTTTATAACTGGAAAATAAGCACATTTGAGAGAAGTACACTCAAATCATTACCAAAGTAAAATATGCAGCAGCACCAACAAGAGCAAACAAAAGCCCACGCAAGAGATGTGTAAATATTTCATGAAGCTAAGCCTTAATCAACTCTCTCTCCAAATCTTGCTGGTGTTGTAAACACTTCAGCTACTTCCAGTCCCACCATGACCCAGATTCCTTGCAAAAACAAAATGCAAACATGGACCAATGGATCTTTAATTAATAAATGTTGTGAAAAATTTTTAGATGGAGCCTATCCAAAGTATGGGTTTAATAGGAAGAAAAAGATACCTTAATGAAAGGTGGTTGCTTCTTGGTGACTCTCCAAGCTTCGGTTCTCCCCTCGCCCCTCCCCCCAAACCCTTGTCTCTCCCCCACAGCCTCTGCTGTTTTCTGGACATTCACATCATCTTAACCTTGAACTGTCCACATTCTAAGCGGAGATTTCTCCCACTGTCCCTCCAGAAGGCCCTTGAAACCTGACAGGGACTTGCTGCCTTCCAACCACCCAAAATTCACTTTCCAGTGTCTAAGTACTCCCCTTTTTTTCTCTCTCTCCCCTTTCCCTGTCCATTGCTACATCTGAAATTTTACCTGTATCTTTTACATCTGCCTGGATAGCATGAAGATCTGTTGTGTGTAAGGTTGACAGTATCTTTAGCTCTTCTAAAATCCATTTCCAAAGACCCATTTATAGCCTCTAGTCTCTACCCTGATTTAATCTGGTTCCAAAGTTCACCTCTAGATACTGAACAGGTCTCTACAGTGATTTTCCTTTATCAACCTCTGCCCTTCTTCTCTTTCAATCTATCTCAAGAAAGACTATATATATGTAAATGTGTTTGTATACACAAACACACACATAAACACATATATTTTATATGCAACTATAGTGTTTTGACCTTAAAGGGAATAAGCCTAGGAAAATAAGAAACATGCCAGTGTTGTATGGCCACACACACACACACACACACACCCCTACCTACTGGGATAGTCACAGTGTGCAGAACCATCGGATTATAAATCCCCCTGCCCAAGAACAAGAACGGCTGCGTCTTCTCCCATTTACCTTCAAAGCCAGAGCCTAAGGGAGCAATGACCTTGCAGAGAAATTCATCACCTGCGAGAAAGACAGACCCTCCAGGAGCGCAGGACAGGATAGGGACAAAAGCAACAGGCAAAGGATCGCCACAATGCGAGACCGAATCCATCCCCGATTAGTACCAAGCACACCTCCGCTCGAGTCCCCCGGGGTTGGACACTGGGCAGAGGTGGTGCCAGGGGCGTCTCGACCCGCGGTCCCTGTCGCCTACCTGCTCACGCCTGGCTCTCCCGGGCGCGGCGGGGCCACTGCCTTCGCTGTGGCGGGGGCTTCCCGTCGCATATCCCAAGCAGCGGCTCTTGGCGCCACCGGGATGGCTCCGGTGTGCTCGGGAGCGGCGGCTCTTTTCAGACGTGTTCCGGGAGCGAGCGGGGTGCTTGCAGGAACTGAAATTACTATGCAAAGAGCAGAGGCGGCGCGCAGCAGCCGGGCGGAGACCTCGGGGCCGCCCCCACCGCGGGGCTGCAGTCGTCGCCGCTGGGCACAGGGCCAAATTGGAGGTGGGGGTTCAGGTGCCGGGCTGCTCATCCGTCAGGCCGGGGGTGCACCCGTCTGTTCACGCAGGGCAGTGCTGCGAAGCCTGAGCATCCGAGCAAAGGGAGGCAGCTTCGCAGGCGGTGGCAGCCACGGCGGCGGCGGCGGCGGCAGCGAGACGCCGAGCTCCGCCCCCACCGCGCCCCCGCCCAGCCTTCTCCGTCCCCGGGGAAGAGGTTCCAGCGCTCGCTGCTGCTGCTGCGCGCCGGAGGGGAGCAGGCAGGGGCTGGCAGGTGATGGTTCTGCTGCAAGGAGACCAGCGGCAGATGGAAAGTTAAGAAGGGAATTACGGTAAAGGGCTGGGGCCAGGGAGAGACTCAGCAGGAATTTTGGCCCTTGCTCTCTCTCACAGATCATCAGGCTCCATGGCTGTGTCTAGACTCTAGCAGACGGTTTCTAATAAAGCCTTGCGCAGTGAAGATCTGAAAGCAAGGAGACCACCTGACGTTTAATAGGTGTTGCAAAATGTACAGTATCCTGGGTATTTGGAGACTGCATTGCCAACAGCGTTTCTGTCCCCCTCCCCATACTCCTTCTGCCTCCGTGGGCGTGGGTAGCTTTGGAAATCGTCCCTGTTGAGAGGCTCCAGCAATACTGAATGAATGTGTAGTCTGGTTAGCAGCTGTAGATGGTGCAAAATGATACAGTGAAAAGAACTATTATTAACTGAGTATTTGTTGGCAGGCACTGTGCAAAATGCCTTATATATTCAGCCTCTCAAATTCCCATAACAAACCGATGGGGTTGGTGTTATTCTCCACTTTATTGATGAGAAAACAGGCTTTGATGTTTTAGACACTGCTTGAGGTCACACAATAGTAATTTGCACAGCTGGAGTTCATACCACTCCAAAATATATTCTCTCAACTAGTACACAGGACACACCCAAGGATCTTGTCAAAATGCAGATTCTGATTCAGTGGATCTGGGGTGGGCCTCAGGATCTGTATCTCCAACATGCTCACAGGAAATGCCCATGCTGTTGGCCAAGGTCCAAACTTTCTTTCTTCTTTTATGCCAGCTCTAGTTGACTTCCTGAAGGTGGGTTAAGAAGAATTCTAGGGGTGTGTCTTGGCTTTTTGGCAAAGGATTCTGCAACCAATTAGTCATATTCAATTCGGTTGATGGAGGGAAGGCTGTGACAAGTGTGCTGGATGGCCATGCCTTCAGTAGGCCACTTCTAAAACAGCACATTTGTTACAGGAGTAGTTTTAGCGTAATATTTAAGGTATTGGTCCACTAAGGACACATGTTTTTATTCCAGTTCTCACTCTCATTAAGCAAACCTTAAGTCAAAGTTTTATACCTAACATTTGTAGAACACAAAACACCGTACAAAGAGCTCACATGAGTAATTGTTTCTGTCTTCACAACAGGACTGGAAGGCGGGTATAATTTCACTTTACAGGAAACTGAAGTACAGTGATTTTTCTGAGATTACACAACTAATACGCATTTAGTAAAGGCCAGATTGTGACAGATCTCTAGTTCAGAGCTGTTTTTAATCTTCCACTGTATTAGTTTCCTATTGATGCTGTAACAAATTACCACACATTTAGTGGCTTAATACAACACAAATTTATTATCTTATTGTTCTGGAGTTTCAAAGCCTGAAAATAGGTCTTACACGACTAACGTCAGAGTCAGCAAGGCCATGCATTCCCCTGGAGGCTCTGAGGGGGAGAATCTGTTCCTTCCTTGTTTTTGTTTTTTTTTGTTTTTTGTTTTCTAGTTTGTAGAATCAGCCCGCATTCCTTGGCTTGTGACCATATCACTCTAACCTCTATTTCTATCTTCTCATCTCCTCTGACTCTGACTCTCCAGCATTCCTCTTCTAAAGACCCACGTGATTACATTGGGTCAACCTGGATAATCCAGAATAATATCTCCATATCGAGACCCTTAACTTAATTACATCAGCAAAGGCCCTTTGCCATGTGAGGTAACATATTCATAAGTCCCAGTGATTAGGATGTGGATATTTTTGAAAGGTCATAATGCTTCCCAAAACCTCACTTAGTACTTATCCTGTAGTTTCTACTATGCTTACTCATTCTTCTCTTTTGCTTGATTTCTCAGGCTGCTGGGAAATTATTTAAATGGAAAAATTTACTGGAAAGTTATTCAAGAGACAATAAGAAACGTACACTGACAAAAAAATACCCCAAGGTCATGAAAAGGCCATTAGGACGAGGAGGATCATGGTCGTGAGAAGGACATGTAAGATTAGGAGCTGCTCAGTGGTCTGAATGACACCGAGGAAATCCCTCGGGAAAGTCCTAACCACAGTTAAAGGCATTGTTAACAATACATACCTTTTCAAAATTTTGCTTCTCAAAGATTACGCTGTTCCATGATAAGTCAGGCAATTCAAAATTCATTCAAAATTGAGTATAACACCAAGTTCCAAACAGAGTGACTGTTTTCAGTGATGATAAACCCAAACCAGTATGTCAAACAAAATCAATAAATATTATGAAACACCTTTTATGCTCAAGGTACTTACAGACTCTGACACACAGAAGTTCTTTGGGGACACAGAATTTATGAAAAATGAAACAATGAAGGACTAAAATAGAAGAAACAATAGGAGAAGCAACATGAGATGGTACATGGGTAATTGTCAAGTAAATTATATAAAGTGAAAATTTTATTTGGAAGTTAGGTTTATATGGGGGAAGATGGGGATAAAACTGGAATGGTAGGTTGTGTTATGAAGGATTTTAATTGTCAAGCTAAGGAGTTTAGACTTAATCCTTAATAATAATAACAATAATACTTATGTTCACATAGTGGTAATTTAACAAGCACTTTCTACATATTTTCAGTCATTTGACTTCCTCCCTTCTGCCCCCAGACAAGCAGGCAAGTGCGTACACATATCACATACCACGTGGGGAAGGAAATGTAAGCCACTTCTCAAAGAGATTTTTCTGACCACTCTATGTACAATAGCAGCTCTCCTCCCCACTTACCTGTTCTTCCTTACCCTGCTTTTCATTTTGTCCGCTGGATTTACTACTACCGCTTGATAAAGTATATGTTTATTATATATCTACTGTCTATGATGGCAGGGACTTAGTCTCTTTTGTTCACTTTTATATTCCAATTGCCTAAAGCCTAGTGTCTAACATTTGTTAAGTGTTCAGTAAATATCTGTTGGATGAATTATTATCCCCAATTTACAAATCAGGCACCAAAATGCCAGATTGTTTTTTGTTTGTTTCGTTGTGTTATTTTAATTTTTAAAAATTTTTATTGATCTTTTTAGAGAGAGAGGAGGAGACAGGGAGGGAGAGAAACATCCATGAGAGAGAGAAGCATGAACATCTGTTGGCTGCCTCCTGTGTGTGCCCTACTGGGGACTGAGTCCGCAACCTGGGCATGTGCCCTGACCGGAAATCGAACCAGTGACCTCTTGGTGCATAGGTCAACACTCAGCCACTGAGCCACACCAGCCAGGCCCAAATGCCAGATGTTTAAATGACCACCACTGTGTCCCACAGTGGTTCAGTGCCTTTACCAATGTTCAGCCCAATGCTCTTTGGATACTATGTTTCCTTTCTGAGTGAAGACTTGTTAGTGGTATTTAAATGAGGGCAGGAATGTATTTTAAAAAGAAGAATTTGAGACTATAATCTTCTCTAAATGACACATCTTTTCTGAAAACTTCATCAGTTTAGCTGCATTGGCAGCATGGAGTTACTACTGACAGTAGATTCTGGAGGGCTGCCATGAGCTCTACATTAGTTGGCATTGAGTAATACTGTCAGTGTTTTTGCAATTGTTCTCCAGTTAATTCATGTGTGCATGTCTTGACACTCTGTATTGTAGGATTTTTGGACTCAGAAACCATAACTTCTATTTCTTTTATATCCCTGCATTCTGCCCAATACTGGTGTCTAAATAGACTTATTCATGGCATGGTTACAAGATGGCAGCCCTCTCTCCAAAAATCATACCCTTACAAACCACATCCAAGATAGTGTAGGGACTTTGAATATGCCAGAACAAAATATGCTACCTTGGCATGAGTATTATTTTGAGTTGGAGGCAAATGAGAATTAACAGATGCAGAAAGAAGCCTTCTTTGAGCTTCCCTTATCTGATAAAAAGCAGAAACGTCTGAGATATGAGGACAACCATGAATCCTCTCTTCTGGGGAAGATGGAAAGTTGGCACCAAAATGGGTCTGGAAAGAAATCTTCTTAAAATAACCCATGTCTTCCACTAGGTCTCCTTCCCACAATTTGCCACCCCTCAAAACCTATACCTCTTTTACATCGTATCACGGCTCTACAAATTTATTATTCTTTGTTAAGATGCTATATAAGCCCAAGTTCTGACCACCCCTTTGAGTTACTCATTACTGAACTTGTTTTGCATCTATTCAGGCTGCATATGTTAATAAGCTCTGTTTCCTTTTCTCTTGTTAATTTGTCTTTTATCTAATTTGTTGGGCCCTTGTTGGTAACCTAGGAGGGTAGAGAAAAAAACTTTTTTTATGTTTGTTCTCTACAATAAAAAGAAAAGAATCCCAATGGTTGTTCATGAAAGAAAATCCATTTCCCAGAACCCACTCTCCTACTTCCAAGTCATTGGCCAGAATTTGGTCACGGACTTACTCATGGAGGCTGTGAAAGTGACATCTTGGTGCCACAATCAAAACTGAGGTTCTATTAGTAAGACAGAAGAGAAGAAAGGTAGGCTCTAGGATCACCCCTTTTCAGAAGAATCAGTAAAGACTCACATTAAAATCCATTTTGATGTTTCCTGACTGCATTTGGAT